CAAGGAGGAAGCCCAGGGCATGCTGGGTATTTGGGGGAAGCTGGCCCAGCGCTCCAAGTCGGCAGTAGATTGTGCTGGAAGAATGAGTTCAAATACAGGTAGTCAAGATGATGGACATATACCCTAAAAACGCTTATAAGCCCCTTCTTGAATTCATGAGTATTCCTCAATTCTTTTTCTTTCTGTTAATTATGAGTGCAAAACAATTCCATAACAGGAATTGGGTGAATGGTAATGTGAAATTTTGTGTCGGAAAAAAAATAGAGGCTCAGAGAAGTTAAGTGACCTCTCACACAGATTGATCTCTGAGTAAACAGTACCTAAGATCCTGAAACTGATTAATGAATGATAAGAAGAGCCCACTACTTCCTTCTTATTGATGATTTGAATAATGACGAAGCCAGAACTCTCCTGGCCCAATTCACATTAAGAGAGCCAAGATAATGAAGCTGTGATTAAATGGCTATTAAACTATTTTTATCAAACAGAGATCAAGCAAGTGTGAGAAACCCGGGACACAGAGTGTAATTGCAATTCTACAAGATGCAGGAAAAATTACTAGCATAAGCAGGGCATGGGCCTTTCATAATAGCCTGGCTTTAAAAATCTCTGGGATACCACATGCAATGTTCACTTTGACTTTCTCCCTTCAGGTGTTAGTTAGCATCTTCGAGTCTCTCGTCTCCTCCTTGATGTAGTGGGTCTATTCACCCTCTGTGTGCAGCTGGGTGAGTGGAATGCATATCTGCCCCACCTTGTATAACCTTTTATACAAGGTTGGGAAATCCTTTTATCAACTGCTCACAAAGGAGGAAGGCCCAGAGGGGTCCAGAATTGTAATTTTGAGGCAGCCCTGGGCACCTAGAAGGGCAGAATCTATTTTCTATAATCTGTACCTTTTCAATGATGTCACACTAGTGCAGGTCATTCATAGAGGGGCCAGCAGCCCCACAGAGCAGTGATGAGCCTTCTAATTTTGAAGACTCTTCTAAACTACCGTTTATTAATGACACGGCAATGCCTAGGAATTGTTGTGGATTCTAAATGTTGCGTTGTATTCTAAATAATGCACAGATTCTAAATACACGGTGTATTATCTGTCGCTGGAAACTCTTTACCCCTTGAGTGAGTTTTTATTGAGGTGCCTTCTTTCTTCCTGAAGGGCCCTTGGAGAGTAAGGCGTTACAGTCACACAGACCTTTACTTAGGTCGGAAGAATTGCACTGTGTAAGGGGGAACCCTATGTTGACACCCACCGTGGGAAATACTGTTTGATAGCCACAGAGCTCCACCGTGGAAACGCCTGTTGGCCTGTTTTCTACCTTCCCCTTCCCTCTGCTGCCCGTCTCAAGACTGAGCTTAGCCCTGTAGCCACACATCACTCCCAACTGGTGACCCGACCTTTCCTCTTCACTTCTCTGTCTTACTTTTCCTGGCTCCTTAAAACTTGAATGGCGCAGACAAGTTGGTTTTTGTAAAAATAGTAATTTCAGACAATTAAAAAGCAGCATCCGAGCCAAGTCTTTGGAAGGGCATCTTGCAGTGTCATCTTCCTGACTGATGGGTGTCCATACGCTGTCACCTGTGAACAGACGTGTGTTAGTAGGCCAGTGTGCTTCATCTGCAGTGACTTTGATTTATTTGCTCTGTAAATTGGGACTGAAGCAATAATGGAAAGTGACATTAATTGTTTCACGGAGTCCTCTTTGTCACATCCATTGCCTACTCTGGGGTGTTTGGTGAAACTTGCGCTAAACTAATTGAAATTACCACGGTGAGGGGCGAAGTCCATTCAACTTTACCTACAAAGAATATCTGGTGAGCTTCAGATACACAAGCATCATTAGTAAATACCACACTTTCTTTCCAGCCTTATGTGATTAAAGAAAACACAGAGACTTTGAAACAGTAACATTTTATCCTTCTTTAATTCAAGAAAAAACTTTATTAAAATAAATGGTCTCGAACATCTCTCTGAGTCACCCAAGTATAAGGATGATAATAAAAATATTTAATAACCATTTCTAATGAACACCAGCCCTCTCTACCCACATACCCCAACACACACACACACACACGTACACACACACACACACACGCCCACCATGCCTATTTCTCATTCCACAAATCCTCCACTCCCCTCCCGTAGAGAGAATTAAAATAGTTGGTGGCTTAATCAGATCTTATAAATTAATTATGACATTATCAAGCTCCAGTATTTCTGCCATTGTATTAGGTATACATTCACACAGACTTATTAAAAGAAATTGAAGAAAACTAGTTAATTTAAGTGTTCTTTGTCATTTTTGACTTGATTGGAATTATCGTAGTTTGTTTACACTAGGGATAGAGCTAAGGAACTATTGTATTAGATGATTGAAGGCAAATAGCAGCTTGTAGTATTGCTGGAAAGCCAAACACAAGATTTAAATCGGAGTAAACAAAATTATCCATTTATTGGTAAGCATTCTTAACTATTTTCTTGAGCTGAGTTTGAACTTCAGTGAAATAAGCCTTTTAGAAAAAGGAGACATCTGGAAAAAACATCAAGCTTACTAAAAAGTGCATGTATGTGTCTGTGTGTGTATATATGTTTGATATATTTTCAAAAATTATTTTCTTAGATAACATGGAAATATTTATAGTCGTGCAAGTCTCATGCTTTTGAGATGCCTTAAAATAATATATATTTAACTTAAATGTAATTTTATTCAGAATAGCTAACTGAATTTGGTTTTTTCCATGTGGGAAAATCTAAAAAGGGGATATTTAAACTCTTTGGATGCCAGATAATGCTTCTGAACAGAAGATAAGGGAAAATCATTTCAATATCTTTGTTATTATGATGACATGAACACAGTCCTTCAAAAGGTATAGTGGAAAGATGATAGATTAAAGAATTGGGGCCCAAATCATTTCAATAACTTTATTGTTATGATGACAAGGACAGAGTCCCTCAAAAGATGAAAGGTGGCAGATTGAAGAATTGGGGCCAAGGGCGTTCAGTACCCTTGAATTATTGAATTAGGCAATTTGGATTTTAAGGCCTCGGTCAGTTTATGAAAGTAGGTGGCACCATCTTGAAGTGCACAGTTTAGCCCTTTTGATTAAAAATTACCTCCTGCATTAAAGTCTTAAACTCCATGTAGTTGTCACACCACATTGTGCCTAAAATTTTTGACTTACAACCTCAAATCCAGGGCTTTATGGAGATGCATCATGCAGTTTTTAAAAATGCCCATTGAAGTCCACTGTGAGTACAAATGGCTCTTCTTGGCCTCTTGAATCCAAAAGAGAAAGAAGTCTATAGTTTTACCCCTGGGTGGAGACTGATCAGTCATGAGGGGAAAACAATTTTTATGTGAAAATAGAATGTATACGTGATAAAGGCCTGCCTAATTTCTCTAGTAATGCAATTTGATTTTCTGATTAGCTGTCTTATTCTGTGATTCTTGTAATTTTGTCAGGTCAATTAACTGGAGTTCAGTGCTGGAGAGAAGGGAAGTGTGGGCACTGCTGGCTTCATTAGATGTCAGCAGTTAGGTGCGTTTTGTAATAAAACCTGTGTGGGATAATTTAGCCCATATTGTTAATGTCATAGCATACAGAACTTGGAAAAGCAGATTTGGAAGCAGTTGGGAGAGATGTCAGGGAGACAAATAAATAAAATTGGACAAACAACATGAAGTGCCAAAAAAAGAAAAAGAAAGTGATCTGGACGGCGTATATTGTTGGCGATCAACGTAGATCAAGGGATTATTCAATAAGAAATCCTTAACTTCCCAGCATTGGTGCCTGTTGGTACCAGTTGTCCCTACCCATAGGCCATATAACAAATTGCTCTGTAAACAAAATACATAAGCTCCAGTTTGGAAATCCTTGAGACTTTTGGTACACAGTAGTGAAATAAATATTGTCTTTTATAATAAATTGTTTACAGCCTCTTCCTTTCCACTGCAGAGTTCTTAGAGGGACAGGTTTTGTCTTGGTTTTCGTTGGGTCTCTGACAACTTACATGGTGCTGGCACAGCGTAGATGTTCAGAAATGTTTGTGGAATGAATGGCTGAAGATTTGTTGTCTCAGGTCGTGTGGGAGGGCGGGAATCTGGGAGGCGAGAAAACAAGTTAGAATGCATTTATAGGAGCCCTCACTCAAGTGTTGTTGTACCCCTGGCCACTGCCTTAAGTGAAGGCGTTTAAGACACACTTCAAAGCAAATCTCTACTTAGTGACTGATCAAATAAAAAGGAGTCACAGTAGTTTGAGAGTTGAAGTCTGAAGATTGTTACCCAAACTAAAGTCAACCAATAGCAATTTTGCTGTGAAGGGTCCGAAGTTTCAGCTTTAGAGATGAGGGAGCTATTACAAAGTAGAAATGTCCAGTCGGCGGTTAGAGATTTATGGCTAAACTTGGGAGAGATGTCAGGGAGAGAAATAAATAAATGATTTTGGAGTGTTCACTGATGAGATTATAATTGAAACCATGAAAGTGTATAGTTTCTTGTAGAATCGTTTCAGTTTCTGGTGCTGTTCAAACACCCAGGGTTTATCTAAACATTTGGAGGGGGGGTATGCTATACTAGAGATCTAAACACTATATCTCAAGATGAAATAGATGATGGTTAAGATTCTCTCAAGCCCTGAGAGTCTCCAAATCATCTCTTTTAGTCAGGGAAAAAGACATGGGCAGGTGGAAAATGTGAACAAGACAGTCCTATACATGGTTTTAAGCACTGACATAGCAAATTGTTACATTGGATGGCTCAACAATCAGAGATGGGTGCAGTAGAGGTCTTCATTCATTGTGTGGTTTGGACCAGAAATGAATTTGGGGTTTGAGGAAGACATGGTCTTTGTGTCCTGGAGTGGGCACATGGGATTCCACGTGGGGTTGACTCATGTGGCCAAAGAGATTCCGCCTCTGCTGAGGAATAGTGTTACCTCCATCCCGGTGTCAATTTGCTCACGTCGTCTTCTGTTATTTTTTTCTGTTTTTGCAGAAGATAGATGAGGAGAATGAGGCAAACTTGCTAGCAGTCCTCACGGAGACACTGGACAGTCTCCCCGTGGATGAAGACGGATTGCCCTCATTTGACGCGCTGACAGATGGAGACGTGACCACCGACAACGAGGCCAGTCCCTCCTCCATGCCTGAGGGCACCCCCCCGCCTCAGGAGGCAGAAGAGCCATCTCTAGTAAGAACCCTTCTACTGTTTCGTGGGAGCCGGAGTTGCCTCTGGCCACCCTCTGCATGGGTCTGATGTCATAACAATAAGGTTCAGATTTTTAATTTAGTCTGAGGCCAAAACAATCCCCAAGCACACTCAGAGTCGCAAATTCTGTGATTCTCTGTTCCAAAGTATTGATGACACGGGTCTCTATGTACAGCTGATCTTACTGCATTTTTTTTCCTAACTATCTTTTGCTGTTTATGTGCGTGTATTTTCATTTCTTGATGTTATTGATGTTCATGATAAAAACTTAGAAAATGTTGACAACTAAAAAAGAAGAGACTAAACATTCACCTGTGATTGCAGATAGCCTCTCATATAAAAATGACTGAAATTTCTTTGGGTTTATGATATATCGTGAACTTGTTGGTAGAATTTTAAACATGTGCATAATGGTCTTGGTTCCACAGTATTTTATCATATGGAGAAGTTCTAATTTTTTAAGCAATGCCTTATGGGTGCATATTTACAGGGTTTTTTCCCTTATATTTTTCACTATTATGAATTATGTGTTCATTGACATATTTTCAATTTTATTCTTACACATGCAATTATAGAGAATTGGTAGATCAAACAAACAAACAAACAACCAAAGAATTGGTAGATCAAGGGATATGCAATATTTTAAGACTGTGGATCCATATTTGCTATAAAGATTGAAAATAATAGCACATTGGCAACCTAAGTTACTTAAATGTTTGCTAGGCAATGAAGACTTAATTTTCTTTTCAATGCAGTGCTCGATTGGAATTTCATTAGTTCTAAGACACAGTTTACCTTCTCATCTCTGATAGCCATTTGTCATTTGCCGTAAATCTGAATTAAGAGCACGCTGGGTAAATTATGGAATGCCATGCTCCAAATGCTAGCACTGTGTTGGCATGCCATGTAGAGGCTGGTCCGTGTTAAAAGAACTCCACACAAACCAGTGGAGAACCTACTTGTGTTGCTATGCCCTGTGGGGCTTCTGCTCTGGAGGAGAATGTCCCGTAATCAGTTGTCACCTATTTATTCTCTACTGTCTCCATTTGTCCGTGTCACTAGTTTTGTCCCATAGCACAGGCAGTCCCTGAGTTACAAACATCCAACTTACGTACAACTTGCACTTGTGAACGGGGGCTGTGATAGTCAGGCCCTGAGTTACAAGCATCTGACTGATGTGCCACCTGTGCTTATGAACAGAGACTATCACAGGCAACAGGGAATTGTACCCATCCTGACTTAAATACAAATTTAACTTCAGAACAAACCTATACAGAACCTGTCTTGTTTGTAACAGGGTGACTGCCTGAATGGACTCTGCTGTCTTTGCTTTGATACTAGACTGTTTCATTGAAGTGGGAGGAGGTGTTGGCCCAGAGATACACTCATGTCAGGACCACGTGGTTCCTGAGGGTCCTGCAGGCAAATGAGGAAATGGGTCAAGAGACGGTGAATGCTTTGCAGTGACAGAACCCACATCTCCTGATGTACCAGCGGGGACTCTATCAACTTCCAAATCCTTTTTGTCCTTTCTGAAATCCGTGATAGCCACTCTTTTCTCCCCAAAATTCTTTCAATCAGTCAATTTATAAACTTGGCTGTAAAACATGGTTCAAGGCACCCCAAAGTCTTTCACTTATTGGACTTATTTGAGTTTTTGAAGGGGAAATGTGTATCTATTTTCCACTCTCCATTCCCAAGTCTTCATGTAGCTAGGCAGCTATTTAATTTTTTTACCTCACCTCGTAGTAGAGATTTGGCAGTTGATTTAGGATGATCTTTCTGCCTTACCAAAAAAAAAAAAAATTAAGAAAAACAATACCTAGTTTAATTTACTACACGATCCCTTATGGTTGAATGTTTAGGTTTCCTTTCTATTTTTGAGCATTGTGAATTATATAATTGACATGTTTGCATTTTTGTGCTTGGTGCATACAATTCTGCAAATAGACTCGGGGAGAAAGGAAATATGGTTCATAGTTGGCAGTATAATGCCAAACTTTTTCATACTTTGTTAAAAATATGTTTCCTTTAGCACTCTTGTGCTAAGGTGTGATATAATTAAAGAGTGATAGAATTAATTTTTATCATTATAATGAATTAATTTTAAGTTTAACATTTTAATGACTTATCCTGATGCTTAAAAGATGCATAACTTTTTTTTTGCTCTTCCCCTCCCCTGGTAATGTTTCCAGCTTAAGAAGCTCTTACTGGCACCGGCCAACACTCAGCTAAGTTATAATGAATGCAGTGGGCTCAGTACCCAGAACCATGCAAACCATAACCACAGGATCAGAACAAACGCCACAGTTGTCAAGGTACAGATTTTAACTTTCTAATGCAAGGAGGAGGGAACAAAGGGATTTTGCCTGAAATTATAAAGTGAACAATAGGTTTATATGCTGTTCATTCCTGTAGGACCCTGCTGCTGCTTCATGCTGGTGAATCAGATTATGAAATGGTGGGGGGGGGGGATCCCAAAGCAGCACTTGAGCCACTTGAAAGTGGGCAGAGCTCATTTATGCATTGCCTTTGGGTGTTTGCAATGGCAGTGCCCCTGTCTGTTACTCCTGGCCACATTATTAAGACATGCAGCAGTGTAGGCTACAATATCATTTGCTGATAGGTTGGTATTAGCTACGAGTGCCTTGAAGATGCAGGATGTTTTGCCAGCTGTCTAACCTGAGAAAAATTGCTTCTGGAGTCACCGTGAAAGATCTCTCTCTGCCATTAATTGGGTAGAAGGCTGGCAGTGGCATAATTCGGTTAGCAGGCTGTATTAAACAATGTTTGTCTTGCCATTCACCGCAAGTGCAAACGGGGCATCAAGGGGTACTTAAGAGACTTCTGAGTACTGGGCCTCAGCAATCAGCTGCAAATTAAGGTTTAAACCAGCTTATTTTTTTTTTTTTTATCCCTGGTAAAGGCGCTGTAGGGCCTTGTTAGTTACATGTTGCTGAGTAGGAACATTGAAATGTAGGAGAAATGAAATAAAAAGCTGCCGAAATGTCATTTAGGAATTTTAAATGTAATTTTCTTTTCTTGTTCTGCAAACAATTATTCACAGCTCATAGATCTAGTACACTTAGACTGAACACTTCATTGAAAATCTCATCTCTTCAGAAAACCTATATCCATTCCGATAAGGTTCAGTTCACTAATTTTAGCTTTCTCGATGCCTTGGTTTTAAGACTGAGAATTCATGGAGCCACAAAGCGAAGAGCATTTGTCAACAGCAAAAGCCACAAAGACGTCCCTGCTCAGAGCTTCTCAAGTATCTGACCACAAACGATGACCCTCCTCACACCAAACCCACAGAGAACAGAAACAGCAGCAGAGACAAATGTACCTCCAAAAAGAAGTCCCACACACAATCACAGTCGCAACATCTACAAGGTAGGCTGGGGACCACATCGCGCTGCTGGCGACAGTGCCAGAGGCAAAGGCAGCCAGAACAAGGTCTGAGAACGCAGAACCTTCTGGCTTCCATCCCATCAGAATCTCTCTGGAAAGGGAATTCAGCACTTTATCATTGGAGAAGGGGGAAAACTCCTTCCTCGGGTACATGTTGCACGTATCCTATTCAGCTGATACGCGGTCTAATTCAGCTGATACACAGTCTAATTCACAATCACCTAAAGGCACCCGAAATGTTAGCCGGGTGGGGAGGAATTCAACGTCACATGAGGTTTACAGGAATCTCTGAATTGCTGAGATAATTGAAGTTATGTGCAAGCTGAGCTAACCAATTCATTAAAGAGCTTTTATTTTTTCTCCTCCAGTAATGGAAAAAATGAAGCATTGCTGATTTGCTGCGTATACCTTAAGCAGTCGTAAATAGTATTTATGCAGCCTGTCCTGATTATTAAATGCATTCTTCTTCTTTTATTCAGACCACATGCTATGCTCACAGATTTTATTTGGTAAATAAGGATTTGGAAATTCCTGATTATTTTTTTCTTTCTATTTAAAAAAAAAAAATTGCTGAGATGAAGCTAAACATCTGGGTTGATTTTTATCATCTCCTTCCATTGCTAGAAGGCGGAGGTTTCTCGGGCAGATCAAGATGATTTGGGGAAGCCCTCTCTTGGAAAAGACATAATTTTCTTTCTTTCTGGTTCTTCCTTCTCAAAATGTGGTAGTCCTAGAGGTCCCAAGAGCACTTGTTGGAAGTAGCTGTTGCTTTAAAATGTGCCAGCTTCTGCTTTAACTCTACTGGGAACATAATGGTCAATGTTGGCATATTCTTAAGTTACGATTATAAATATCTGCTTCTTCTCTTTCTCCTTCTGTTTCCCCAAGTTCCCCCGTTAGCTGCAGATTGATATGCTCTGTCCTTGCTTTGAACCACGGTCACTGCACATTTGTTTGCTGTTGATGCTGCTGATTTTAATAAGTATTATCTTTTCCAATGCGTTGAATTTACCTTCCTTATCCCTACATCACCATGAGCCCAGAATTTTCAGGAACCTTCCTTTAATATTTTAAATTGGCTCTCAATTAGTTTTTTCCTGGTAGATATCTCAAGTCCACCATCTACTGCTTGCTGTCAGTTTAGCAAAATGGACCCAGTTCTCTCAAAGATCTCTTTGCCCTGATTGGGTCTTCATCACAAGCTCTGTTGTAGTTTCTCCTAGAGCAGGACCACTGTGCTGTGGGCCTCATTGGTGACCAGAGAGGGAGGGAGTGGAATAATTTCCGGGCTGCTCTCCATTTTTCCCTGGCCATGCATTCGTTTTCTGTAGCTGAATTTAAAGTCCTGAGCTCAATGTAGCCCTGGAATCCGTGACCGCAGCCTGGTAGCTCGTGTTTTAAAGCTCTTCAATGCTTTATTGTTTATTGGTTGGTTTTGTTTTGTATATTGTTTTTAATTGATCTTTTCTGGATTTTTGAGGGCATTTTATATTTTACACCCACTCACCCATAAATATTACTGAAAACTTTTAATGAATCATGGCTGTCAAGAATTAAATGGGTCCCTCTGGAGGGACCATTCCCTAGATAAGAACAGTTCTATATAGATTTTTTTCTAAAGGCACACATCTGTGGCAAGGTATAGAAAACAGAATGAAGCCTGTTGACCAATAAATAAATAAAATTAAAAAAATTTATAGTTATGAAAGGCCTAAAAGAAAGGAGACATGTTAGCTGTTCATAATTAATGAATATTCTGCTTCAGTAAGGTGACCAGATTTTAACATTGGTAAAGTGGGACACCATTGGCCGGGGTGGGGGTGGGGGTGTTCTTAATTAAAATTTGGTCTATATGGAGCAACACAAATTTTCATAGAATGCAAAAATAGTATTGTAATATATATATATTTTAATTTCAACATAAGTACAATTCACAAATATAATACATTAAAAAAAATTGTGTATAGGGTAGCGCCTGTGGCTTAAAGGATTAGGGCGCCAGTCACCTGGGCGACCTTGCCCAGGAGGGGAGTAGGGAGTTTACATTAGCCTTTCCATTTCCAAATGAAGTTATGTTAACCTCTTCATTCCCAAATGGAGTTACATTAACCTTTTCAGCAGCCAAAAACCATATACTCCCTTCCCATTCTCTTGCTGTTCCCTAGCTTGTCATGCATTCTTTCCAAAAATCGGGAGTTTTTTAAAACACCTGCAGGACGCGGGACAAATTGTTAAAAATAGGGACTGTCCCACCAAAAGTGGGACGTCTGGTCACCTTATGCTTCAGAGATTATTTAAATTATAATTCAAAATTTAAAAGTAGAAAATATATGAATATTTAGCTCTACTAACTAAGGTTCTACTGAAGTTATCTTTCTTAATGTGTTGTATTTTGTTCTCATGAGACTTCGTGTATGTTCTTGGAGTCAGGCTCTTTTCAGTTCCTTAGGGTGCCTTGGCTTGTGTTGATGTCCCATTTATTCATTTTTACATCCAAAAATATCATCATCTGCATGAAAAAGGTGTATTCATGCCCTCAAGGACCCCACCAGTCTCTGCTCCATCAGTCATCTGAACAGTGTGGATTAAACTCCCAGTACGTGAAAATTAATATTCCTAGGAGCATTTGAGGGCCTAGGTTTATCCAGGGGTTGGGTTCTGTGTGCAGTTTGGGGACTGTCCCATCCTATGGCTTTCATGCTTTGGGTCCCATTAAATATGCCTCCTGCTGACTTCTCTCCTTCCATTGCCCTTGACTGTACCTGTGCCCAGCTATCAAAATTTGAAGTCTTCCTGTAAGCATTTCAGACAGGCTACCCTGTCTTCTCAGAACTGGAATTCCGGTGACCGAAGTTCAATAAACATTTATTGTGGGACATACCACATGCTTCATGTCTGGTTATATTTTCTGTAGAACCTGTATGAATTATTAAGCTGAGCACCAAAAAAGTTGATAAAGTTCTCTCATAAAGTTCCCTCTCTTTGAAAGACTCATTATGTTGAACCTACTCAAAAAGTAATGTAAAATCAGCTCATTTATCTCTCTATATGAAAAAGCCAATCAATCAGTGTATCTAATTTGTAAAAGACACCACGAGCTTTATCTTTCTGGATGCACATCAGATAGATGGAATACCATTCACGTGTTTAAAAACACAATCTAAAATTTACAGATTATATATGTTAATACTATTTCTTCAAGTAAAGTACCTAATTTCAGGCCAATTCGGACAGCAACAGTTTTTTTTCACATTTCAAAGGACCTTAATTACAGGGGCTGATTAATTTACTTGCAAGTCTGTTGAAGGGGATTCCTTTTGATAATAGGAGAATTGGCCAACTCTGGGAGTAACGATTTTTATGGCCCTGGGAATATTATTCACCATCTTTGGGTCTCAGTATCTTCTTCCATGAAATAAGAAAATATATTCTCAAGATCTTTTGGGTTTCACCCCTCTTATTTTTATTACATGAATTACTATGTATTGACCTTCTGACCTTTTAACACGAAAAAAATTGACATAAACCTACATACATATAAATGTATCTCCATATATAAGCATAAAGGTAATGTGTGTCCCAAGTTCATTTCTCATCATACTTTCCCCCCAAGATTGCCATGGAGAAGCAATTGAAATTTTGGAGTGAGAAGATTCTTACTCCACCCTTCATTATTGGGAAATGCCTCCTGTAGGAGGTAAGATTTAGGAAAGTACAAAAGGAAATAGTGAGCCCTTTTTACAAGTCTGTAAATCTCTCAACTAATATACATAATATCTTTCTTTAGTTGTCAATCAGATTTGGGGATCAGAACCCCTTTTAAGCCATCTGGGTCAATGCCCAGGATTTGCCATAATCTCTCCATTGATTTTCAGTGAGTGGAATGGTTATTGCTTGAGCTTTGGCCTCATAGAAATAACCTATTCTCGGGGCTAGATATAAAATTATACATTTTAGAAGTAAAATCAACTGAATATTCATAACGTTCTGTCGCCTAGTAGTTACTCTGCTGTTTCCTTGTCTCAACTAACCGTGTACTGTATTCCAAATTAAAACACAAAACATTATTACTCTCCGATGGTATGAGGCAAATTTTGTATCCTTAACAGGGAAGGTACATTTGGGGGAAAATTCTGTTTTTGTATATGTGCTTTTGAATGATAGTTTACTGATGCAAATGTCGTTTGGAGTTTATTTTGACATAATGTCTGACTTTGATCCAATAGTCAGAGATTTTCTTAGTTTAGTCTTAGGAGTTTCCTTGTTGTGTCTCCAACTTGACAGTAATAGAAAGAAAATAAATGTAAAAGAATATATCATAACTAGTCTCTTTTTTTTTTCCCCTTTAGCCAAACCAACTACTTTATCTCTTCCTCTGACCCCAGAGTCACCAAAGTAAGTATTAAGAAATGTAACCATTTTCAGAAAGGGAAGGGGGTTCTAATACATTTGGCTACAGCAACTCCATTTCAGTTTGTTTTTATAAATGTGCCATATCTTCCAGTGACCCCAAGGGTTCCCCATTTGAGAACAAGACTATTGAACGAACCTTAAGTGTGGAACTCTCTGGAACTGCAGGTGAGCCTTACATTTCACTCGGAACTTAGTGTGTGTTTGAGAAAAAAACATTAAAATTAGATAAGAGAGTGTATTCTCTATGTGACTAATGAAATCAACAAGGAGTACAAACAAAACTGGATAAGAAGCTACCTGTAAATATTTTCAGTTGCGTATTAAAAACAAACGAAAAAAGAACTAAAAAATACTGACGTGCTTAAAAAAAAACATGGAGTTATGGGAGAGTTCCTAGGCAGACTTCTGAGTTGACTGCAAATGGTGCTTTTGAATTAAGTGCTTTAGGTTTAGGTACTTGAACCCTACCAGAAAGTGAATCTTAGGATGTCTGAACAAGAAATTCCTTAGCTCTGGCCATTGCTGATAAGGATAAAGGAACAGTGAGTTAAGCAGGATGTTCTCAACCAGAACTATGGTGCCTACATGCACAGTGGTCATTGTGGCTAAGTTTAATTTCACACTTTGAATTTGCTAAATTACCTCCTTATGAAAGGTCTCTTGCATGATTGCATGATTTGGTCAAGCAATAGAGTAATTAATTCTATGGTGTGTTTGTGTGTGTATAGTATGTGTATGCAGGCTCGCATATATGTACATATCTATACAAATGTATCTTTATTTGCAAACACACCCATACACACATATATCCACTTATAAGCATATATATAACATTATTCTTTAAATACATCACCCACACCATTTATGACTTACATATATGATTAGAAATATCTTTTGCGTGTATATTTTGTCTACAGAAGAGGCCTTCTTTTTTGGCTAGTAAAGACCAGTCATTGGTGAGTTTATTTAAAATGTTGGTTGAAGCATGTACAATTTTGTCATTTTGCTTTTGTTTAAAACACATAAATATACATTCAAATATTAGATTTTGGGGAAGAGGGCAGAGACTGTTACCTTGAGTTTAAGTGTGTTGAGGATTGCCTTTCTTTGTACAAACCACACTAATTATGTATCATACATGGTATCCATTTTTCATTTCTTCCTCTTCAATGGGAAAAATTAAAGACTTTTGCATGGTAGTCTGAGTGCAAAGTCTTTCAAAATTTTTATGATTTTTTCCCCCCAAATTTTCTAGTACCACTCATCCACAGCGAATCTGATAGCAGTTCTTTTAATTTTGTCTTTTCAGGCTCGGCGCCTCTGACTCAAGTGGCTAAGGCGCCAGCCACATACACCTGAGGTGGCGGGTTTGAATCCAGCCCGGGCCCACCAAA